AGGGAGTTGCGACGCTCTTTGTGCTGGCCATGGGCTGATGGAAGCGTAACAAGGAATTCTCTAGAGCCAACGGAACGAAACTGGAGGCCACTTTATGTCTAAATATTTAGTCGAATGGTAGTCTGTCGTTTTGCGACTCGTTGGTTCAGAGGCGGATATCGCATCAGCTCAGGCACCCGCCTCATAATTGCCCCAAGTGGTTCAACCTCCGTCATGCCTAGACCTCGCTGCTATCACGAACCAATCACGATGTCTAGTCTATCAATCGACTTCTTAAATAAGATTGAACCCCCACAAGATGAGATAAAGCTAAGAAATGGTATTTATCGGGTATCTATCTCTTGGTCTGGGGATGGGTAGTGCCGTGCTTGGCTATTTTCTCCCCGCAATGTTGTTGCGGGGTGCATATCAAAAACTTCCGCCATAAACGCTCCAATTCCCAGTACTGAAATATGGCGAATAGGCCATATGTTTTGTCGCACATTCTTCAGGATTGGGAATAAACGTCACATGTCGTGAAACAAGTATTATTGACTATGACATGATGGTTAAGCCTTGCCTCGAACGAGAGATGATCTGAACTCTTCTCAGCAGCGACACGTTACAGTGCACGTTAATGCCTCGGCTGTTCCCGGTATTAATTTTACTGCTGACATGTCAAGCGCTGACAAGCGACAACAGCGCTGTACGATAAGAGCAAAACCAGGCACAGGTTGTACTGCATGCCAGGTTGCATTCTTTCCGAAAATCCATCTCCTCATCAGATCACCAAAGATCCCAGTATCTCGGCGTCCAAATCTCGATAACTATTTGCTTTTTCCCTTCAATACCATATTTATGTCTGATACGTCTCATACGTATTAATAAACAACATCTCTCATACGATAACATCAAAACATGAGCATCAGACGTTTTAACCTTGTCGATTAAGCTTAAAATGTTTAAATGGCACACGGCTAAGGCGGAATTGCCAGACTTGGCGCACCTTACGCTATGAGGCGATCGGCTGTGGGGAGGAGGAGAGGCCGCCAGCGCCTCGTTGTGCTGGAGGGCCAATACTTGGCCTGGACAGACACCGCTATGATCTCATGTTGCTTGGCTTGGCATCGGCTCATGATCAGAATTCACTTTGCGTGTGACGTTGCGTGGCTCAAACCTCAGAAAGCCCACTTGGACTCTTTTTACTGCCGGGCGGCGGGTGGAAAATTTATACCGACTATGAAAGCTGGCTGATCCTCAAGCTTTTTCTCTGTCTTGACTTTTGGTGTTTCTTCATTCCAACCAAACTTGAGCTCAGCAACCACTCTTATTATTATCGATATTGATCAAAGCATCAGTTATGGGCGTCCGTATCGCTACCCAACAAGACATCCCCGCTTTGAAGGAGATTATCCTCAGCGGGTTGTCAAATGATTCTGTCTGGCAGTACTGCTACCCCTCAGCAGGCCGTTCAGAAGCTGCCTCAAATCATGTCGAGACAGTTCTGAAGAGGATCATTGACGACAACAGCAAGAATTGGCATTGCTACGTAGTCGATGCTCCCAAGACTCACGACCCTGTCTCCCTTGCCATCATCCAGTCGCTTCACCAGCACGAAGACGATGGAAAGGGCGTCACTGAACAGATCCAGCAAGGTAATGGAACCCACATTTTTGCTCGTTTAGTGAGACCAAATTCGCTAACCTTAATTTTCTTCAGTGCTCGGTCTGTCGGAAGACCCCAGCGACGGCGAGAGTAAGACGGCAAAGAGAATTGCCGCACTGCAATCAGGCATCACGCAGACTCAGCAGACGTACCTCGCCCGCTACGACCAAGTTATGTTCCTCCATGCCGTCATCACGCATCCCCACCACAAGCGCCAAGGGTACGCCAAGACGCTCTCCAAGCAAACCCTGCACGTAGCGCGTCAGAAGGGCGCCGTCGTTGCAGCCCTCGCCAGCCCCTTCAGCGGCTACGTCTTCTACTCGGGCACCAGCTTCTCCAACTGCGGCCGCACAAAGGTCGAGACCGACAACGACATCGAGAACCTCGAGCTGCAGATCATGGTCTGCGTTCCCCCCAAGCCCCTCGAGCAGAGGAGGAGCTCCATCATGGACTTTTGGGGAGGCGCCAAGAAGGCCTCGCCCGCTGGGAGCAGACGCGAGTCGCTAGACCAGGGCCAGGGTCAGGGCGAGAGGCGGAGCTCGTTTTTGGACATGTTTAGCTTTGGTGGCCCCAAGACGCCCTCTGCTGTTGACGATGATACCCGCAGAAAGTCTCACGCCTAGATGAGGGACAGGGGGATTTTTGTTTGCAATTTTCATGATGGATCGTCATAGAACAGGTCTTTTCTTATGTATTTACCGACGAGCCACGATCTCAATACGATTACAGTCCCAAGCCCACTATCAGTGTCGGCGAAAATACAGTGGTGGACCGTGCATGACTTCACTGATTTTCAGGGCTCAATCATGCATTTTGCGTATGCATGACAGCGCACAATCAGCAACTTTTCGCCAATCGCCGTCAAGGCTTACGCATCTCCATCCGCCATGTCTAGACAATCAGCGGTTTCGGAATTTTCATCAACTGCAGTCGCTCTATAGAGGTAGGCATTATTCCGCGGTGTCTTGGTACTTACCTAATTTCGCTATGCACATTTGACTCGTAATAAGACTTCTTTTTGTTGAGCCTGCTCATTATCGCGTGCGACTTGAGAATCATATGCTTGACTAAAAAGGGCAGATAAAAGAAACAATAATGATGGGCAAAAAATAAACGATGATGCTAATGAAGAAAAGAGAGTTAGCTCTTATGCGTCGGCAAAGTATTGGTGTTTGATCAGATGAACTACAGCCATATCGGTGACCATTTGCGATCAGCTTCAGGCGACATCACAATAAGTATCGAAGAATCAGGTGAAGGGAAGGAGATGGTAGCAAGGAAAAGATTCTTGCATGGGGAAGACAGCTTTGGAGGCAACGCCCGCATCTGTTATTCAAGAGTAGATAGAAGCGTAGAAGGGAATATTAGAAGAAAGGAAAATGTTCAACTTCCCTTGGACTTGATGTCAGTCATCCCGCGAATATAGTGTATGATACACCAGTCCCACAGCCTTCCAGGAAGCAAATCGATCAGACTTTTGTAGAGAAACTGATACCAATGACCGACAACAACACTCCGGCGACTACCAACTCTCGCAATGATTGCTCTAGCAAGAGTACTGTCCGTTTGACCCATACATCGCGACACCCGTACGCACAAGGCCTCAACGTCGTAACCCTCGAGTTTCATTTCCAGAGCCGAGGATTGAGTCATTCTAGAAAGGAATGAACGGCTTGCCGAGGTTGCGATCTTGAGTGGGATGCCTTTATCGCTTAGGGAGGTGACGTTTATGATGAGAGACGGGGTGTTACCAATTAGTGTTGGAAGAAGTGTGCGAAAGAGTTGTATTGGATAAAGGGCGTCCACGTTGATGTGTTTCCAGATAGACTTTTCATTTTCATCCAGGATCCGTCCAAGGTCAGTGTGCTTGGCTTCTGTATCTGCACAATTGACCAAGACTGTCAAGTTAAGCTTGGACAGGTCTTTTTTTATAGCCCCAAGGTCAAGTTTACGTTCCAGCTTCCAGTCCCCATAGCTCTTTCTGTACGAGAACTCTTTCGTTCCAAGGGCTGTAGGGTCTGCGACGATTATTTTGAAATTGCGCTCGGGAAACTCCTCGTGTACTTGTACCATGGCGGTTAACAGATCCTGTTCGACCCGGCCATGCAGCACAACGTTGAACCCTTTTCTTGCGAGCTCACGCACAATCTTGTATCCGATTCCACCAGAAGATCCCGTTACTAGAGCCCATGCGGCCGAACCGTCGGGGGATACGTGGTTGTAGCGGTGAATCTTACTGCGATGAAGGCAGTATGTGTGGAAAAAGTAGGATGTACGGAGAGCCCATTCGACAAATTTTATAGCGCCGAAGATGGCGAGGATAGTTAAAATCTCCTTCCGGAACGCGCGTACGTGATGATAGTGGTCGATGCTGGCAAGCTGCACCAGGTTGCAGGCTAGGAACTCGAAAGAATGAATTGGGAGACTTCGGTTAAAGCTGGCATTCATTTTGTCGAGCATTGTGAGGAATTTGTTGATGTTTAGTCCAGTATGGTGGGTGACACCGTGGTCATATATGTACCTTAAAGCAGAGGGGGTTTGCCCTTCAATAAAATATTAAACTTTGTGCGAATTGTGCTGTATGAAGGGGAGCGGGTTAGATGCTCTAGGGCGCGTAGAGTTTCCAATGTAAGGAGTGACGAATCTTATCAGTGACTCAAGGTTGCTGCGAGTGACTGGACAACCTATTGAGAAGTGGACAACAGCGTCGACTAAGGCGTGGAGTATTCTTGTAGGCTCTGAGAGGTCTTGAGCCCCGCGCGAAGTCACGTCAGGTAGACAGCTGCAGCTTTTTTGACTTGATTTGTCTCGAAAGCATGTGATCTACCTATCAGAGCGCTGATGTACAAGGTGTTTAATATTGAATTTGGCTTCTCGCTTCAGGCTGCCGTGACGTGTAAAAGAACTCTTCTGATTCAATTTGTCGCGATAGTTTTAAGCTTTGACACGGCCACTTAGCACTTCTACAGCAAGATTCTGAACCTGAGGGTCAGGCGTATAATTAATGGATTTCAGTGGGAGTAGCTCAGTGGCAGAGCCTATCTAAATGCACAACCTCTATACAGAGTAAGATCAGACCTAAGAGATTATAAGTTGGGAGACTTGAGGCAAAGTACCATGAACTATACTTAATTACCCGAGAACCTAAACTTGATGCCTCAATGTGATTCGTCGTACTCAGAAATTTCTGTTGTTCCCTCACCATCAGGCTTATCCAACCATATTAGTCCCACCCTCGGCCATGAGCACAAATGAAAGATCCAAAGACAGGAGGCCCAAGAGGCCAAGGAACCTGTAACCTACACCGCCAGATATAGCGCTAGTAGCAATGTCCATGATGTTTTCAAAGGGCAACGAGCCAGACAACCCCTGGGCTTGATCGGACTCCCAACGATGGTCCACAGCTGCATGCGAGGATATATTTTCCATCACACGACCAAGCGGCCGACTGAAAGGTTTGAGCTTGCTTTTTGCTACCTACTCAGCTAGCCACATCTTTGCCACTAGCCTCCTGCGCGGGCGGGTGTACTAACGGCGGCCCGGGCTCTTACTTCCGCAATAGTCCTTATTGCACGGAAGTGGACAGCATGCATCTCGTCTTGAACGACCAGTCGCATTCAGGAAGGACCTCCGCGGCACGGAAGCAAGGAATGCTAATGGGTAACGTGGCTGGCTGAAGCACACGGTGTATCCTTAATAAGACAACAGTCAGACATCCACGATTTAAGCCAGCCTCGGGGTGCAAGAAGACTTCTAACGTTAAATAAAGGTGCCAAAATTACTTAGTCTAAGAATCACTAAAGCTATACTAAAACTATACTAAATTTATGTAAGCTAATCTAAAGACTTTTATCACCTAAGATAGAAGTCCTAAGTTTTATTACACCCCCTTAGCCAGCCAGCAATTTCGCCCCTAAGAGTCAACATTCGGTGGATCTGTTCATCGAGCCTGTCTCGCCGTTTTCTAGCTGTAGGGGGCCTCAAATTTATAGCTAACTCTTGTTTGTACTGTTTGAACCTTTATACTAAGAACGTCCTCCTAGATTGGGCACTGCATAGAGCAGGGTGATACGACATCTTGCGTCATGACATGACAACGCAACAAACTACATTGAGAGGACAACAGCATGAAGCTGTATTACCTGTCGATTGTGGCCGAACTCTAGAACTAAGGGCGTGGCTGAATATACGAAACCAAGAACCGGTTCCATATGGGCTCCAGGACATTTTTGACTAGTTTCATTAACCTCCTCCTATGTAGCTGATTTAGTGACTTCTAAAGGGACTATTCTGTGTAGAGGCTTTAGGATGGCTAACTCGCCCTTTTAACTCGTAATGACGCCTAAAGCTTAAAGTACTTTTGCCGCATTACATGGAATATCCATCGCAATTTTTAACTGTTTACGGTTGTTGTTCGTCCTCCTCAGCCAGCCACGTTTCTGTTAGTGATCGTGTGCGTATGTGGCTTAACTAACAGCCTATCCCAGCCCATGCTTTCACAGCGGAATTGACCATCAGCGTGTGACACTGAGACAAGCAGTAACTATTCTCATTCACCACCCTCACCGATACGTTTTCAGTTAGCCACAAACCACGGCTCGGGAGGAAGACTAGCCTTAGCAGCAAGACTTTCAGCTAGCCACACTTTTGCCATCACATGAGATATGCGAATGGAGCAATATAGTTTCTGTTTCTATCCCGCAGTAGCCACTGTCTTACCTTAAAAGGTTTTATGAATTAAACTTGAAATGGCTTATCACATCTCGTACTCCTAACATAGATGCACCTGTTCCAGCTGTGACAGCAGCGGCCGACACAGCCCTCGAAACAATGTAATCTACTCCGTACATTGGATTGCTAGCAAAAGCTCCTAAAGAGATCTGCGTGTCTTGCGCCACCATTGTGACTTATGCGCCCTACATTAACTCTCCAATTCATTGACTTTCACTTCAGCCAGCCTCAATATGCAGAGCAATAATGGATAGCGATGACCGTGGGCTTTCTGCATATACTGAAGTCGTTCGCAAATATAAATATTGAAACCTTTCCACTATCACTTCATTGCAAGTCATTCTCCAATTCTACTTTCAATTTGACTTTACAACCATGAGCGGAAAAAAAGCAGACTCTGAGGTGCTGTATATGCTTCGGAGTGAAAAGGGGGTCTTCGTTCATTTCTTTCATAAACATGGCCTTGATGATGCACCAATTCTTGGATAGTACGTCTTCCATTGCCTGCATAACATATACTACCAGGGTCCTAATACTTTGTTGCTGGTAGTAAGAACGAATCGAAAGTGTATAACCCCAACATGAACTGGAAGATTGAGCGGGTCCCGGGCACAGACACGCGTATCCTTTTTAAGAGCGAACTTGACGACGCCGTGATCTACTCAAAGGGTAAGATACTTGGAGTACGGAACAACTGCGATGTTGACAAGAAATAGCCAAAGACCATTATCTTGGCGCCGACCAGGGTATGGAGAACAATGACACTGCTCACTGGTATCTTGAGGGGTGCGATTTCTCAGAAATATCGGAGGCATCTCTTGTCAGGTGAGAATTGCGACTATTATCTAGCAAGTTTGAAAAGCATTGCTGACGCCTAGAAGATTCCGCAACGCAAAGCACTCTACGCTCTACCTCGACTGGCAGCATCCCGAGCCGACTGACGGCAAGGCCTTCGTGACTGGCCTAGCCAACAATAACGCAAGCCAGATCTTTCGGATCTACAAAGTCCGCAAACCTGAATAGTACTATAGTATTGGGCATAAGTAGGGGCCATTTTGGCAAGATGGCGCACCTACTCTTTTATAGCCCTATAGTAGTTACTATTATCATACTATAAAACATTCTTTACTACTTTTGATTTTCTAATCTAGCTTGAAAATTTGCTCAGTAACCTACAAGTATGGTTCGCACGCTTTCGAAATCATGGCTTGGTGAAGTTATCTCGGAATTGGATGATGACGGAAACGGAGTGAGACCATGAGTGAGAAGGATCTCTTGGTAGCTGCATGCTTACGGCACGAGGCCTTGGCCATGCGGCGTAAACCCGTAAGTCCGTAACTCCAACTCCGATCAGGGAATGGATCATCCGCCAATTGTGGGCATTCCAGGATTTAGGTAGCAATGACGAACTATAAAACGGACCTTGGCTGCTAGACATTTGTAGCGCCATCCTATTCTTTCAGACACTCCCTGGCATCGTTATCCATCAATTCATTATGCTCATTCTAATCGCAGGCATCACCGGCATGGTCGGCCAGACCCTTGCTCGCTATGCACTGGAAGAAGGCTATCAAGTCCGCGGTTTGAGTAGAAACCCTGATAAGCTCAATGCCGATATTGCATCTAAGCTCGAGAGTTTCGTCGCTTGCTCCGACTTCCTTGACAAGTCATACCTCGCGAAAGCCGTCAAGGGGGTCGATGTCGTTATTGCCGCCCTCCCTCCAGTGCCAAGCATCATTGGAGCAGGGCAACTGGCTCTTTTGCTGGAAGCTGAGAAAGCAGGTGTCAAGGTAAGCCCCGCATCAACCAACATGAAACCAACACTAACGGGCTGTTCAAGGTTTTCCACGCCGCTTCTTGGAACTTTGATTGGACTAAGCTCGAGCTCGGCGATCACGAGACATACGATGCTTATATCGCTTTCAAGCGTCTTGCCGAGCTCTCATCCAGCTTGAAACCCATCTATGGCTTTACAGGTGCCATCTTGGATTATTCGCTCATTCATATCAAGGATGCAGGTCGTCCCAGTCTAGTCAACGCCGAGACTCGAAGTGTTGTTTACTTCGGAACTGGAGAGGAGAAAATGTCGTTTACTACTCTTGACAACTTGGCAAAGTATACACTGCTCGCTATAAATGATCAGGACATCATTAAGCGTGGAGTCTACTATGTCGAGTCGACTCATTGCACTATGCCTGAGCTCGCTGATATTTACGGCAAAGTACGTGGCTATGAGGTGAAGAAACAGTGCTTTGGCGGTAAGGCTGAACTCCAAGCGATGCTGCAACAAGCTAGGGAGAACATCGGTGCTTTGCAAGCGGACAAGTATATCGACCTGGCTTATGGGGTGGTATTCTTGAATGGCAAGGCTGCTATTGATCCTGTTGATAACGAGAGATGGGCTAGTAAGGTGACTCCTACCAGCATGGAGCAATGGCTGCGAGAGTATCCTGAAGCCTAGGTTGAGATAGGAGTTCGTCGTAACGTAATGGTATCACTGTCCCTACAGGTAGTTTAACCGTACCGCTAGATCTATCAAAGAAATGAACTTGCTATTCGACAAAGTAAACTCAAGAATCTCTCGCGCTTGAACCAAATATTGCTTCCATACTCAAGGAATCTGCACAAGCAGAACAACTAGCATCCGAAATGAATATAGGGCATCCAGTCCGTATTTCCGAGATCTGGTTGATCTTCCTCCTCGCTTACCGCCGTGATATCTCTGATATCCTTGCCTTTGACTCGCTTCTTATCTCTCAACCTTCTCAGTGCTCGATGCAGTCCTCTGCACACAGATAGATCGTTCATTCCTTCATCACGCAGAGTTTCATAGAAAGCTTCAGCTATATCAACGCAGTGTCTGTCTGATACTTCCCATAGTTTTCCAACGACATGCCTGAAGCCAGTCAAGTGGAACGCACCAACGAGGTGAATTCCTTCGTCTGAAAGTCTCGACTCCATGTTCGTTCCGGTTCGGCAAGCAGAGAGGTATGCGAGAAATGGTTGACTGCTTTCCAGATTCTTCCCACGGATGTCTTGAACTGTAAGAGGGTCGTTCTCCCAGTCTTCAAGACATAAACAGCTCTTGGACGGTTCCGTCGGGTTTAATCGGCCATGCCCTGCGAAATGAAACGCATTACAGGTCTCCAAGGACGCGAGGACTCTCTCCTTCAATGGCTTGGGTATGTCCGCTTTGAGGCCGAGCTTTGGGCACATCTGCTTCACCATGTTGACTTCGTGTTCAGCGAACGGTAATCTGGTACTGCCTGGTGTATTACGCATAGCAACAAGGAGCGCAGACTTTCTCTGCGATTCACGACCTGAAGCAAGACTCCGCTTTCTCCCATGAAGCAGTGACTTTATGGTCAAGGCATATGACGACATGGCTCTATCCAAGACTGTCTCTGTAGAGCCTTGGTTGTAACGCCCGGCAGCATGAATAGGTATAGAATTGAGAGCGTCGGTTGGAATCCACCAGATATGGGGCCAGTTTTCATCAAATACTGGAGATGTAAGACCAAGAGCCCCCAAACACGGGTGACATAGAGCATCCCACAGCCACTCTAGCCGAGATCCAAGCTCAGATCTGGCTGATGGGAAGCTTGCCCATGCGCGAAGCTTGCTTTGTGACAAATCAGGTAGCTCAACCGCTGTAATTGCCGTACTCTCGATGATGAATGCATCGCAGTTGTAGAAGCTTACATTGATGGCGATGATCGGATCCGGGGTTGCAGCTTCCATCAGTTCTGCTTCTGTTGGTGGTAGAAGAAAAGTCTCAAATCCGAGTTTGCCTCGGATATCCGCAAGAAGCTTGTCGAATTCTTCATCGGCTTTCCGAAGCCTGGGGGCTTATAGCGTAACGGTTAGACGTCACTGGCCTGACCAGAAAGCTAACTACCTTAGGTAGCTAAAGGTAGTAGGTTTAAATCCTGCAGTCCCTAACCCTAAAAAGCTAAAAAAACCTAGGGCTTAACTACTAATAAAAACTACCTTAGCTTATATCTAAATTAACTTAGAAACTATAGTATTAATATATAAAAAGGTAGCTAGCTAATAAAAAAGCTTAAAATTATAAATCTATTAAAAAAGTTATTTTTATTATAATTTAGTTTAGTATATAATAAAGGAAAGGTTATTACCTAAAGGTTTTCCCCTTATTAGTAAAGAGTTAACTTAGGCTAAGTATATATTTTCTTATAGTAAATCTAAAATAGAAAAGTAGGTTTATTATATAAATAAAGTATTATAATAGGTTAGAAAGCAAATTATAGTACGAGATACGCTTAAATTAGCAGCATAGCAATAGAATTACATTACATTAGCTTTCCGAAGCCTTTCTTACTTCCGCTGCCAAGTTACCAAGTCGTCCCCTTGCGTCGATAGATCGATACCACTTTGGATCTGGCCCATCTCATCTCGAAGACGATCAAACTCATTCGCCAATTCTGGGTACTCCGATGCGAGCTCCGAGATATCTGTGCGAATGTCCATAACAAATCCTGATATTAAGCCTCTTCCCAGCTCCAAGAGACGAAGCGCCTCATAAGGCCCTTTGTTAGCGCTGAGCGCGGCAGCCGCGGCCATAGATGTCATACCAGACAGACTCGAAAGTAAGCTCTGCTTATCTGTATGAGATAGAAACCGCGGACTCACTTTCGGGAGAAGAAGCACCGCTTCACGCAGCAATGTACTAGCCTTCTCCCACTCTTCTCGCTGTATGTACAAATATGCAGCAGAACCAGCTGCTCGTATTCTCTGAGATGGTGCTGCGACTTTGGAGTTCCATGCCTCAAGAAACCAATAGATCTGACTATCCCGATCTTGGGCAGATTTTGTTACCTCGAATCGCTTATCAAGCCAGTTTCCTAGATTATTTATCATAACTGAACGATCGGGATGATCTTGTGGCATTGCTTCGACTGCCTTGGTGATATATCCTATGCAGGAATCTAGATCATCTAGGGAATCCGTCTTATTGAAGCGGCTGCCGTACGCATTGCCGAGGTTGTTGAGGTAGGAGTAGACATCGGGATGATCTCGGGCTGTCAGATCGACCGCCTTGTTGCAAGCTTCGATAGCACGAGCAATATCGCTTGCTCTTCCAATTCTCTCGTAGCGTGTGCGAAGCGACGATCCAATGTTATTGTAGTAGGCAGCGAGCCTATCTTGAGAGAACTGAGGCCTTTGGATTGCTTCATCAATCAGCTCGATAGCACGGTCAAGGTGGTGTACTTCGCTTGTTCGCTCAAAGCGTAAGCTTAGCTTATTTGCCAAGCTACTCAGATATGTAGGATAATGGGGGTGAGTCTTAGTTGCGATTTTGATGGCTTTCTCTGCAGCATCAATAGCATGTTCCAAGTCTTGCATCAATCCCGTCCTTTGGAAGCGCGCCCTCAGTTGATTCCCAAGACTGTTCAGCCGGTTGGGTAGTTGTGGATGACTGCGAAGAGTGCTGACCACTGACTCGTGCGTTCTCTCAATGGCATGGCCCAGGTCTACAATTGACCCCGTCCTCTCAAATCGCATGCCGTGACAGATCCCCAGGTTGTTCAAAGTCGATGCAAATTTTGATTCTCGGCGAGGTGTTGCCTCTAGGCATTGAGTGAAGATATACAACGCTTCGTTCAGATCCTTCACTGAATCAGTTGTCTCAAATTTCCTGCTAAGACTGGTTCCCAGGGTATTCAAGATGCGGATCTATCAGGATGGCTCGGGGATGTGCCATCTACTGCACGACGTGCGGCCTCAATAGAATGGTCCAGATCCACGACGTCTCCCGATGTTTCGAACCGTTCATAAAGCCATACGCCTAGGCTATTCAAGAACCCGGGGTGTTCTTGTGATGTAGAATTCACAGTTGTTGATGATGCCTCGATTGCACAGTTTATGTCATCAACTGTGTTTGTTCGCTGGAACCGCTTGCCATGACTGTTGGCCAGGTTGTTCAGATATCCAGCGTAGTGCTGGTGACCCTCTGCTGTCAATTTTACTGCTCCCTTTGCCGCCTCAACGGCAGAGTCCAAGTCTTGAACCATATCTGTCCTCTCAAATCGAGCAATGAGCCAGATGGTAAGTTTGTTAAGGCGGTCAGCAAGATCCGGACTATCGTCTGGAGTAAGGCTGATGGCGAGTTTCATCGCTTCAATAGCTCGGCTCAGATCGTCTATCGCTTCAATTCTCTGATATCGCTTGTGAAGCATAACACCAAGGTTGTTCTGCAACTTTGATGACTTGTTAAGTTCTATCATCGGTATCAAGTGTTCCACAATAGCGATGGCCAGATTCAAATCTTCCATGAGGTGGCTCTGTTCGAACCTCATCATTGATCTGGCTGCTTGGTTCTTGAGGAGTCTCATTCGAAGATCAACATCACTAAGCATAGCGTCACGACTGGACCTAGATACCATGATGTTAGCAATCTCTTACATCAGTATCTATGTGCTAAACGAAAAGTAGAGTATAATTCACGTCTCAGCGATTTGTCCAGACTGTTGCTGGGAGTGGTGCAAAATCACCAAAAGCGTCGCGTAAATGTCGAACCAGTCGTCGAGATCCTGTTTATGCGGAGGTGAAGCGACGATCCTTCCTTCAGTCCAGAGGATAGCTTCTTCCAAAACATTGTTAGAGCTTGATATCTCGAACAAAAGGCAGCTTGCATAGATACGGATTCTCAAGCTGTCCTCGCTATCAGTGTCAGCTGAGTTTCCCTTTCCTATGAAAGCACGCAGCTCCGCCTCATTCATGGCATGAAGTGAGGCAATGGATTCGGGGCGCAGGTTGAGGCATTCCATTGCGACTCAAATTAGACCAGGGTAATAAAACCGCGAAATTCGAGATATGTTTCTGCAGTCTTTGAAAGATTCCCGTTGGTTGCGGTAATATTGTAACAGAGGAAAACCGAGAGCCTCTCGGAGACCAAAAATGCCTTGCCGCCTACTCCTGGCTTGTCACTGCGAATCAGAATCGATCTCGATACACCACCAAGATCCAGGCAAAGGGCAAGTAAAACAAGTCCAGGGGAAGCAAGGAAACTCCAGACCCTGATCCTTAGGGACAAAATTACTTAGGTAAGTCAGCCTAGAAAATATGTTGCTGAATTTATTTCAACATCCTATACTCAGGATTAGTGTTTTCTTGCTTCCCAAGGCAAGTGTAGAGCCTTTTACAAGCGACAGCAATTCGTGTTTGTCTTGACGATGCCAAACCTTACCCAGAGCTGTAAATATAGTTTCCAGCTATCGCTGTCCTCAATTACCGTAAGTATTCTCATGGTTTTGAGCAATTCACAAGAAGCTGGCTGTACCCATGCAGCGCTCGTAGAGGCACTGCACTTTAGTGGGGCCTCCCCGCGGCAGTGCAGTAAATGCACTGTCAGCATTATCTTTGACGACTCCTCGCTACGCACCAACTTGACAATTTAACATACGAACTACGGTGATCCAATTACAGTCAATGCACTATGAGACATCAGGAATACCTGAACAGCTTTTTCCCAACAGAAATATGGCTTCACATCATTCAGCAATGCACCGTGTCGCTTTCTCTCGCCGAAATGCTGAAATTATGTCGCGTCAGCAAAGCCTTCAACCTCATGACGATGGAGGCTATCCTCGAGTCCAATATGTTGGATGATGTTGGATACTGGGATCCTGTGCGGAAACAAACCCTTTTATATCACACGGTAGACAATGACCGTCGTTCTTTGCATCCACCTCTTCTAGATAATATATCCGACGACGATGACACCAACTCTGAGCCGGAGACGCCGGATTTGGACAGACCGTTATCTCCGCCGCCTCCAGAAGGCAATCGAGAGCAATCCGAAGACGGTAATCTCTCTGAGAAAGATCTGTTCACTTCCAGTTCATCAGTAGTCCCTAGCGACGATTTCTGGGTCATGTACTTGACGGTCAGGACATTGGGCAGAATCAGGACGAAACCGCCAACTCAGGACCATATTCTGCTGTTGAAAGTCTCAGAACATATCTACCAATACATGCATCAAACATCTTCGCAGATAGAGTTGGAAGACATAGTACGCACAGTTTGTGAAGTAGCGGTCAAGCACGGATACATCTACTCACATCCCGATTTCTACCTCAAGAATGAATCACCGACACTCGATGCGACAGAACTTCGGTTGGATGAATCTTGTGCAGTTTTCCGCGACGCTCTAGCATCAATGGCTGTATGTCTGAGTGACAACACTCTTCTCGAGAAGACGCTCTCCAACGAGGATCCGATCCTTTGCCCCTTCCACGATAAGGCACTTTCAGCAGATCACCAATTTACACCATTACCATCGTTCCAGACACCCATTCCTCAGGCTGGCCGTATATTAGACAACCAACTTGGCTTCATGCCGCCGAACTGTGGAAAGTCGCTTATAAGACTTGCGAACCCAGTCAAGCTTGCTGTCCAGTTGGACAAGATGGAATGCGTCACCCTCCTATTGAAGAGTGTTTCCACCAGAGAACGCGAACTTGACATATACAGGGAGGACGTAATCACTGAAGCCGCTCTTCTCAATCGGATCGAGTTTCTGCGCGTCGCAATTGAGACGGGTCGGCCTCTCACGCGATACCGACTTCTAGCACCATCGATTGCGGATATGATATGGATGAGCGGACGGACTGGCCTTTCTTCAAGATCGCCTGCTGGTATCAAGTTGAGTAAAATGCTAGAGACCACGACCAACATTGAAGTTTTCAATTTGGTTCACGATGCTTTGTTGGAAGGTTATAGTGCGGATGAAGGCGTTTGGTGGACCAAGGGCCTCTCCTCCAGGGCAGACACCCTTGCATCTTGGGGCTTGAGAAGGCTTCAACGCGCTGTATTGGACGATTGTCTGTCCATCGTTCGAAGACTCATAGAGATGGGCTACTCAGTAGGCCCAACGAGGAGCATTGAGGATTTGAAGGATGAAGATCCCGATGTTGTTGCCGACATAATTGATGGCGAAAGGACGGTAGATGTAGCTCTGCCTATCGCAGTCAAAAGAGGGAATCTGGAAATGGTGAAACTTTTATTTATCGCTGGAGCCCATAAGAAGCGCAAGAATGTTCGGAAAGCAATGAGAATTGCTATAGAACAGGGTAACCATAAGATGCTTGAGATTTTGACAAGTCAAGGATCATCGGCGGGATTATTAAACCGAAAGGCAAGGCAACGCTGGAAGAAAGACTTGGAAAGTTCGGGGAAGCAGAATATGCTGAAATGGCTAGAAATGATGTGAGAAGGACGTTATTTTACAGACTCATCCTTCAATCCTTCATATCAGTCCAAACAAATTGTTATCAATTGATGCTGCTCTTACCCCTCATGTCCACCGCCAAATTCAGCCTGTGACAGGCCTTCAAGGTTACACGTGACGTGTTGGTCCATGTCTCGTATCACTCACTGCTCACTCATTCTTTATTCTCAACCCGCCAAGAAACCGTCAATTGAAGAAAAAGAGTGCATACACATTCAAAGTCACAATGGCAAGTACGGCAGAAGTCAAAGATCCCGAGGCCTTTCTCAAAGACCCTCGCTTTTCCCAAACCTTCCAGCTCCCAGCGGATCCATCGGATGATCATGGCAGTCTCCAGGTTAAATACTCCGACTACGGCTATCACAACGCCGCTGATGAGAATGTGCTACTCTTCTTTGCGCCGCTATGTGCTTCGAGGATTTTTCACTGTGCGAAGGATGAACTAGCCAAGAAGTACCGTGTTCGCATTGTCGTTATGGACCGGCCGGGTTTTGGTGGGACGGATCCTGTCAAGCTGGACAAGAGACCTGCCATGTGCCGAAGTAAGTCATCACTGACCGGGACTAAGCCAACATATAGCTAATATTCAAAGAAATGACTCTGGCTTTGCTCAAGCATCTTGGAATCAAGCATGTATCTCTTGCTTGCCACAGCGGAGGAACCGTCTACGCTTTTGATATGCTCATGCATCACCCAGAGATTCTCCACCCAGAAAGACCCTACCTCGCCGTCGGAGCTCCTTGGATCCTCCCATCTCACTCACACCTTCTGTCGATGTCTGTAACCCAATCACTACCCGCCAGCATGCTAGCCCAAGCAGACAAGCTCATCGGCTTCGTCAACGGCACTCTGGGGCCAGTTGTCGCGACATCCGCTGGTATGAGCCAAATGTTTGGCCTATCCAAAAAGAAGAATGTCGAAGGTGGCGCTGAGGAGATCAAGGCCGATGCGCTCTTCGAGGAGTCTTTGGAACCCTTCTTGTTCAAACTTGTGCACGCTGAGAGTATTCGTGGTTTTGGTGATGAGTCGGTTTTCTTGATGCAGAAGACAGACGGAGTACCAGGATGGGGCGACTGGCTTGATTATGATGATATCGTGCCGAAGTTGGTACATGCGCTGAAAGGAGCGGGTAGGAAATTGACCGTGGATGTCTACTACGCTGAGGAGGATTCTATGATTGGAGCACCGGGAACTGATGGGCCGAAATGGCTGGATAGTTGCTTCAAGGGAGAAGAGGTTGAGCAGGTCATTAGCTACAACACTAAGACCATCGAGGCAGCGGACCATGACACTATTTGGAGCATACGTCGGGGTGTACCTGTCGATGTCTTCAAGAAATTGGCTGGATGATCTCCAAATTATCTTTCTTTATGAGCTTCTGGTACAGATAGACTATCTTTTAATCCATCTACTAGGTTATGTGTGATGATATAATCACTAATCCATCTGCCTTACAACTTCGCCGCAATGTTAACATGCACGGCCTTGATATTCGAATACGCCGCAAGACCAGCCTCTCCCAACTCTCTTCCAATACCACTCTGCTTAACTCCGCCAAATGGAATCCTCCAGTCGCTATCATTACTTGAGTTGATCCAAACCATACCAGCTTCAATCCTCTTCGCTACCTGGTGCGCCCTCGTCAAGTTTGTAGTAAACAAAGCACTTCCAAGACCATACTGGGTATTGTTGGCGAGGCTGATAGCTTCTTCTTCAGAGCTAAACTTGCTAACCACCACAAACGGTCCGAAAACCTCTTCCTGGAAAACTCGCATCTTGGGGGAAACGCCAGTAAAGACTGTAGGTTCGATGAAGTAACCCTTTCCATCGCCGACCTTCTTGAATGGCTGGCCACCGAGTTCAAGTTTGGCACCTTCTTTCTTGCCGACTTCGACGAAAGAGAGAATACGGTCGTATTGAGCCTTTGTGACCTGGGGACCTTGGAAGGTCTTCTCGTCAAAGGGATCGCCGACCTTGGAGATGTTCTTGACTTGGGCTCTGAAAGCAGCGAGGAACTTATCGTAGATACCATCTTGGACGAGAATGCGGCTTGTTGCAGTGCAGATTTGACCTTGGTTAGACATGATACCAGCATGGGCCCAATAAACAGCCAAATCGATATCAGCATCATCGAAAACGATAAGGGGACTCTTGCCACCAGTCTCTAGAGTGATATTCTTAAGGTTACTGCTCGCCATTTTCATGATTGTCTTTGCTGTTGGTGTAGAGCCAGTAAAGGCAATCTTATCAACGTCCATGTGAGAAGCAAGGGCTGCACCGGCGACGGTTCCAAGACCGTTGACGATGTTGACGACACCAGGGGGGAAGCCTGCCTTAACGACAAGGTTGGCGAAGTAGAGGATGGAGAGGGGTGTTTGCTCGGCAGGCTTAAGGACTACAGCATTACCGCAGGCGAGAGCAGGGCCGAGCTTCCAGGCTGCCATGGCAAGGGGATAGTTCCATCTATTAAAGTTGTTAGTAAGAAGGCTTCTAGACTACTCTTTTCGAGGTACACTTACGGAATAATCTGTCCGCAGACACCAATAGGTTCACGGATGGTATATCCAAACTTGTCACCAGTAGTCTCAATGACCTGTCCAAACACCTTATCCGCAAAGCCAGCATAGTATCTTAACGTTTCAGCCACCTCAGTCATGTCCTCGTTGAACGAAACAGAGTAAGGCTTTCCGTTATCCCATGTTTCAATCGTAGCGAGAATATCTCGGTTTTCTTCAACGAGCTCGGCAAGTCGGTTCATGAGCTTGCCGCGCTCTGTAGCAGGGAGATCTCGCCAGGCTGGATTGCGAAGGGCGCGACGAGCGGCGCGGACGGCTTTGTCGACATCTTCGGCTGATGCGGCGTAGACGGAGGTGATTTCCTGCTCATTTCTGCTATTGTTAGTGATGGTTTTCTTTGCAGTGGGCTATTGGTCTTACGTTGGGTTTATGGAAGTGATTTTGTTGCCGTTTGAGGATCGAACAAATTCATTGTTAATGAACAGACCAGTAGGCTGCTTGTAGGTTCGCCCATTGGGGGCAGTAAGTTGAACGTCTAGACTCATTTTGGATGTATGATGATTCGATTATACAGAAATCTCTGTGGAAATCAGCTGAGGAAAAGCTATCCTTGTATACCTATAGTCATTCGCCAACGTCACTCGATATCAGTGCCGTATAACGGCGGAACGTATCAACGTGGGGTTCCGATTCCCCAGGACAAAAAGTTGAAAAGTGTTGCCCATTCTCGGTATAGTGTCCTCCGGGCCGGTGTGGATATCCAGGCAGGATACCCTGGACCGATAAGGAGATGTTTCTCGCTTCCGTATCGGGCAGTCGTTTTGCAAGCGGTTTAAGCAGAATCCGGGCAAGCAAATGCATTCAGCTACTGGAATTGCAAGCGGTTGATCATCTACCGTGCCATGGGACCCTGGGTGCATGATCCAGGGGTGATATGACTGACAAGTCGTATGATTTGCTCTCAAAAATGCAAATATGCTTCCTAAATCAACGTTTCCTGACATTTGAGATCAACTATACCGATTATGGTAGTAAGATAGACCAAAGATACAGTGCAATTAAATAGAACGGGTTTTCCCACGCGCAAGTGCCCATCTTTCATTGATTCTAAATTTCAGCTACAACTACGCGTATCTGTTCCATATTCACAAAAACTTGCAATGCTGGTCCTCCCACCCAATCAGGAAGCACTAGGCCCTCCGTTCTGAGGAGCTCGACGAGCTTCCGTATCCGTCTTGGTTTGGACATCGACATCAACATAGTTGGCCCGCTCCGCGCGCTGCGCATAGATGATGTTTCCCTGCGCCTCCTCAGTCTCCAGATAAGTGATACGCCCCTTGATGACCCAGAACACCAGCGTGATGACAAGCATGATGCCAAAAACAGCAATGGCGTAGTTCATGTCTGCAACCGCGGGGTTCGGTGCGCCTGGGAAGAAGAAGAAAACGGTGGTGACAGCGCAGTAAACGACGCTAACCCAGTTGATGACTGACCCAAATCGTCCAAGAGAGAACTCGCCTGGTGGGAGCTTGTCTCGGCCGACGAGGAGGAGGACCAGAATGGGCATGCCGTAGGAGACTGTGAGCGCGATTGTGCTGACGCTTAGAATAGCTTCCAAGACTGTTGAGGCGAAAGTGTAGAGAACTCCGATGAGAGCCATGACACCGCCCTGAAGCCAGAGTGCGCGAACGGGGACCTTCCAGAAATCGTCGACCTTGGCAAAGTAGCCGCTCCAAGGAATACCTCCATCTCGAGCAAAACCCCAAGTCAAACGCGAAGCGGTCGTAACGATTCCAATACCCTGTCCGATGCCGTTCACAATGAACAGTGTCAGAAGGACAGTTCCGCCCTCAAGACCTACAGTCTGCTTGAGAAGATCCATGAAAGCAAGACCGGTCGTAGGATCAGTAACGATGCTCATATCCACGATGCAGAAGAGGCAGACGACCATGAAGATGAAACCAGTGATGGCACCGATGACGACCGAGAGCCAGATAACGCGGGGAATGTTCTTTCGTGGTGAGGGAATTTCTTCGACCAAGTGGATAGCAGCATCGAAGGCCGTAAGACCGTAGGCGGCTTGGATGAGGCCCAAGAACCAGGTAACACCATCGGGCCAGCCAGTCTGGTTGATCCACTGTCCAAAGACGAAGCTGGCAGGCTGATAATGGAGGTTGTCCTTGGTTCCAACGGAGATGAGCATGGCCAAGCTGATGATGAAGAAAAGACTGGCAAAGGAAATACCAACGAAGTTGTTGAACCAGGGCAGAACGACGTCCTTTCGACACGCCACGACGTTGAACAGGGTCATAAATAGAGTAACGCCGACGTAGACGAGGAATAGAACCCATCCCTTATCCGCACCGGCCCAGTCCGGCTGGAAGAGAACCTTCATCTTGAGCATAAACTCGCCCATGAAAGCAATCTGCGACGCCGACAAAGTGATCCAGCCAGTCATGTTAATCCACGCACAAAGATACGAGCAGAACCGTCCAGACTTTGTCGGCCACAATCGCGAGATCCAGTACGCCTGACCGAGCGCCGTTGGCATACTACTACACATCTCACCCAGCGATACAGCAACGCAGATATTGCAGACAAACACGAGAACCAGACCCCAGAGGATAGCGATTGGGCCTCCGCTGGTCAAGCCGCTGTCGATGCCCTGCGCGAACGTGGACCACGTACCGAGGACAGAGAAGGCCAGGGCAAACATGCTCCACATGCTGAATTTTCGCGAGAGACTCTGGTCATGGCCAAAGTTTGCGAGATCTTCTGCATCGCGGATGGCTTGGTTGGTGGTATCTGAGCGCTTGAGCGCAGAGTTTGTCTCGACGTCGTTGGTCATGGCCGCGTCTGACGATGACCTCGTCGAGAGAATAAACGAAAATAAATGACGTAAAAGGGGAGAGGGGGGGAAGGCGACGGGCAGCCTTAGCGAGAATGTGATGTGACTCAGAGAGATGGATCAATTGCGATGTGTTGTATGAAATGGGAAGTAAAAAAGCAAATGCGCGTGGCGAGCTTATATCCAATTTGCTACGGGGAACGGACCAGCGTCTTTTTGGTAAGGAGACCCTTTTTTTACATTACGAAGGCCACACACAGCACAGAATTAGAATTGGTAGGTGCTTGGTATCAAGGTTAACTTATCGTGTGACAGGCCGGGTCGCTCTACGGGCAATGATAGTACTGTATGGGGTACAGAGATTGTGGTGGTGGTGGCTGATTGTAGGGATGCTTCAGCGCTGAACGAAAAACCTGGCAGAGGCCAAAAAAGCGCGCATTGGGGTTAGTAGCACACCTCAGAGATAAGGAGGCACTCTAGCACTGTTATCTCGAGCCCCGGTCATACTGCCCTACTAACGCCCTTTCAGCGACGGCGGCGTCTGCCATCACCTGTGAGTTAAGCCCAGCGATGCATGCAAACAGGACCAACGCCGTCGTTATTCTGACAGGACAACCCGGCAAGTTAGTTAGCGATCATTCCAATGGCTTGGCCAGGCGGTTTGCGGGGAAATGCGATGGTACCCCATGGGGAACAGCGATGCATCGCATCAGGAGAGAGGACGACGAGATTTCCATTACGTGATGAATTGCAGCATCTTGTGCAACGACTTCCCCGTGGGGAATAACGCGTTGCTTCTTCGACCGGGCCGGTAACATCTTGGGAGAAACGTAATCAAGGGGGATGAAGGGGATGGGATGGATCACCTGTTCGGTTATCTCGGGGGAGACGACATTCTTATCGGCCGCTGAGCAAAACTGCAAAACGTTACCTGTAAGCGGTTTAGCGCAAGGCATGGGTGCAAAGCTGAGAAACAGATGCTGAAAGCGGTTAGAGGTGTAGATGAGGGGGAGGATTGGGATCGCTGGGGTCAGATGATTGAGCCTCGTGTTAAGTTACCCAACCGTTTCCTTATGCTAGATAGCAGACAGATGCAGTAATTTGTGGACCTGTTGAAAACGTTCACTGTAATGCCCGTTTCGAGGAGATTAGAGAGTTCTTGAGGCGGCGCGTCGAACTGCCGGAGATGGCTTGGCATGACAGATAGTGAATATTCCCCAGGATCAATCGAGAGAATGCAATTCTGTAGCAGTTTTCGGTAGAGATACCCTTGTCGACATCTAGATCTCGCTTGTGTTTCCACTGCAGATGCAACTGTAGTCTAGTCAGCATCTTTGCTTCTGTAGGTGATGTCTTACACTGGTCTCAGCGGACTCCCGCTCAGTGGAGATGCAGCGGAGCGGTGTCTGCCAGGACAATCGGAGCGGGCGCCACACGGTGGATGCCATGCCATGCCGTGTCTGTCTCTTGTACCTAATCCGCCTTGCTTTTCTTTTCTTTTCTTTTACTCTTCTCTATAAGAAGCTCTGTATCCTCTTGACAATATCTTCCCTTTTCTTTTCTCTCTACAGTAAGATACCAACTAAGCTACAGTTCTTGTTCAACTTTGCTCCCTCCAGGTCAACCAACACCTTGGAACACTTATACAGTTACTTGATCATCCACCGTATGGCACAGTCGCTCAGCCCAGATAACGTTCACCATGATTGCAGACACCTCATCCATCGCCGGCTACACCATCTTTCGGGAAGAAGCCAACGACGCCGCTCCCGACCTGTCAAATTCTCAACATTTACATCCTCTCGGTACGTTTTCCCTGCCTTTCAATTGAACTGAACCCCCGCAATTGGCCTGACCCTAACAATTGTAGATCCGCTATCAATTGATGAGATTCGCGCTGCCGCAAAGATCATCCGTGATCATGCTAAGCCCAAGACTCTAAAGTTCAACTGCCTCACTCTCCGTGAGCCTCTCAAGGCAGAATATGCTGCTTTCCGCGCCCGAACTGGTCCCCGACCATCTCGTCGCGCTTTCGCCATCGTCATCGAGAGGGGCAATGGTCAAGTCTCCGAGGTCGTCGCCAACATCGCCGACGGCACGGTCGAGCTCTGGAAGGACGTCTCTGAGGTCGGTCCTACTCTGACCCTTGAGGATCTTGACGTCTGCGAGCGCGTTGCTCGCGCCGACTCTCGAGTCATCCAGGCCTGCAAGGACCTTGGCATTGACGACATGTCCAAGATCTACATCGATGCTTGGGCGATTGGCGTTGATCAGCGTTGGGGCTATGAGCGCCGTCTCCAGCAGGGTCTGGTGTATTATCGCGCTTCGCCCAACGATAACCAGTATGCGCACCCGCTGGATTTCTCCGTCGTGGTCGATACTGAGAAGGAGGAGGTCCTCACTGTTGACATCCGCTACGTCAACGGTGAGCGAACAAAGGTCCCTCTCACCTCGCACAACTACATGCCTGAGTTTATCGGCGAGAACTACATTGATGGCACTCTCAAGCCCATCAACATCACCCAGCCCCAGGGCGTTTCGTTCCGCATGCGAGGAAATGAGATTTCTTGGGCTGGCTACAAGATGCACATCGGATTCAACCACCGTGAAGGTATTGTTCTTTCTGATGTTCGCATGGAGGATCAGCATGAGCACCGCGAGCGCACCCTCTTCAACCGTATCAGCGTCGTCGAGATGGTCGTTCCCTACGGTAACCCCGAACCTCCTCACCACAAGAAGCACGCTTTCGACGTCGGTGAGTACGGCACCGGCCTCATGACCAACTCTCTGAAGCTGGGATGTGATTGCAAGGGTGCCATCCACTACCTCGACGCCGTCATGGCTACTGGTTCCGGTGATCCCGCTGTCATCAAGAACGCCATCTGCATTCACGAGGAAGACAACGGTCTTCTGTACAAGCACACCGATTACCGTGACGGCTCCGTCATCTCCGCCCGTGATCGCAAGCTCATCATCTCTCAAATCATCACCGCCGCCAACTACGAGTACGGCTTCTACCATACCTTCACCCTCGACGGTACCTACAAGCTTGAGATCAAGCTGACCGGCATGCTCAACACCTACTGCATGCACCCCACCGAGACAGCCGCTCCTTACGGAACCGAAGTTGCGCCCACCATCAACGCTCACAACCACCAGCACATCTTCTCCCTCCGTGTGGACCCCGAGGTCGACGGACCCAACAACTCCATCGTCCAGAACGACGCCATGCCCTCAGAGGCAGAGGTCGGATCTCCCGAGAACCCCTACGGCAACGGCTTTTACTGCAAGAACACACCTCTTCGAACAGCCAAGGAGGCTGCTGTGAACTACTGCCACGAGACAAGTCGATCATGGGCCATTATCAACCCCAACAGCATCAACCCATCCGCCAAGAAGCCCGTCGCCTACAAGATCCTCAACAACAACTGCCCCGGTCTCCTCGCCAAGCCCGGCAGTGTCGTGTATAACCGCGCTGCCTTTGCTCGCAAGAGTCTCTGGGTCACTCCCTACAAGGACTACGAGATCTTCCCTGCTGGTGACTACGTCTGCCAGTCCACCGGTGTTGAAAACCACCCTCACAACAGCACTATCCTCGACTGGGTAGCCCGCGACGAGCCCATTGAGAACACTGATATTGTCTGCTATATCCAGTTTGGTCTCACTCACTTCCCCCGCACTGAGGATTTCCCCGTGATGCCCGCTGAGCCCGTCAGCGTCATGCTTCGCGCCTCAAATTTCTACCAGAAGAACCCTGGTCTCTGGGTTCCTCCTTCGGCTCTCTGTGTCGATGCTGCATCTAAGGATGCTTTCGGTAAGAAGGAGGAGGAGGCTCCCTCTTCTTGCTGTGCTACCAAGACGCTCCCCCGTCTTTAGATGGATGATGTAATGATTGGGGTAGTGTAAAGTTAAAATTGAACGTGCTTAGCATTATGGCATATCGTGGGTTTTTGCATGGTTATATAGCAAGTTGAACAACAAGAATGCATGAATTACTTTCTCGAATATGTCTCTGTCGGTGAAGCCTCTCTTTGAACATCGTCTCTCAACCCTATGATCTTCTAGTGTGCAGCTATGGTTTCAGGATTTGAACATAAAATGACCCTAAACCTACTAGACCCGCCACGGCAAGAAGCGGCAAAGTGACTCGTGACGTCTTTATGGGATTGTTAGTGCTGACACTTCGATACTCCAAATCACTCCATGCCACGAATACACTTCGCAACCAGAACTTGAACTGCCAGTCCGGGAACATGATTGTGTTCCTCTTTGTCTTCCCGTCAATGAACCAAGATGTGCAACCTGTCGCCCAAACAAGGCGTTTAGCCTTCTCTTGAACTATGTCTATATCCTTCCTCTCAGCCTCGGGAGTAACCTCAACGATGTCTGCCTTTCCTGTTAGAATTGGTCTGAGAACTCTCATTGTGTAGTTGATCTGGCATTCTGTAGTGTAGATGACTGATAGATGACCACTTAGAGTGTTTGGGCCCATCATGGTGAAGAAATTGGGGAATTCCGAAAGGCATGTTCCGAAGTATGATGACGCTGCACCTTCGCTGACTTGATTCCACTATCCCCTGTTAGCAAGCGACAGACCATGGCTCGTGAGAAGCAGTGGAGAAAATACTTACATGCTCGTTGATACTGACCCTATCCTTTCCGTATATCTTCATGGGAAATAGTGGTTTCTGGGTCTCAAATCCATGCGCGAGAACAATAGCATCGGCTGTTACCAACCTTCCGGAAAATGTCCGTACGCCTTTTGCTTCAATTTTTTGGATCGGATCGTTATATACAAGCTCAACATTATCCTGATATAAACAGGCAAGGTAATCAGTGTCATTGACCCTTCGCTTGCAGCCGACCTCAGTCTTTGGGACCAGAAAGTCTAGATACTTATCCGGTGCAGCCTTTCGGATATAGTCAGTAGTATCTTTCGCCCATTGATTCCTGATTCGAAGACCTTCAGCAACTTTGAAGCCGGCAAAGTCTCGCTCTTTCAGGTAGTATAGCCATGCACGGTATAAGCGCATTGCAAAGGGGATCCATCTCATGACCCATTTGAAAGTGGCCGAGTAGGTTGGATTGGAACGTTCTGCTAGCCAGTGCGCTTGTCTCGCGAACTGGGTTGCTTTCTTGACGGCGCCGTCTCCCGAGCTTATGACAGGGAGGACTTGAGTTGCGCTGCAACCGTTTCCTATTTCAATCAGCGACTGAAGCTAGTGTATTCTGGTGCAAACCAACCAACAAGCACTACCTCCTTGTCTTTCCAATCGAAGGAATGATCCCATTTGGCAGTATGAAATATTCGTCCTTCAAAGTCTGAAGCGCCAGAAACATCGCATTCTTTGGGAATGGAAAGGGCACCGACAGCTGAGATCAGAACCTTGGAACGACGAGTCATTACTTCCGACGTTTTGACATCTCGAATAGTGGTTTCCCAAATTCCAGTAGACTCGTCCCAATGCGCAGATTCAACAACTGAGTTGAACCTAACATGTCTTTCAATATCGTATTTCTTAGCAACATTATTGAAATAGGTTTGGATCTCTGGTTGCATAGCATATGCTTGAGACCAGTTGGGGTTCAGAGCGAAGGAGTATGAGTAGAAATGCGATGGAACCTTTAAGAGAGGTCAGATGGAATCCCTCTAGACTTTTTGATACATACGTCGCATCCACAACCTGGATAACTATTGACTCGCCACGTTCCGGCCATGGCAGAGTCTTTCTCGATGATCTCGAAGTTTCTGGTGCCGAACTTTCGGATCAGTTGGACACCGAGACCGATACCTGACATCCCGGCACCGATTATGACGACGTCTGTTTGACTCATGTTGATATTACTGAATGAAGCGCAAACGAATGCGACTGTTTTCGATAATGTGATGAGAGGATGGCGATGTTAGACGAGGGATTCAGGTCTAGGCATTGGATTTGGATTGACGCATATATAATTACAAACCTCAATCGAGATTGCTACTTCTTGTGATACATTCATCGCCATTCTTCTCTTTCAGACTAGGTACACTGATTACATTGACGACATCATCACGACCCAAAACGGTAGTCAAGGCGAAATGTGGGTATCAAGCCACCTAAGAGCCAAAAACACGGACAACAAGCCGACCTCAACCATCCCATAACCTTGGGTACATTAGGCAACGATGAAATTACATAAACGAGTAGGCAACGAGCGGGGGTCGTATTTGCGTGGGGTTTATGTCGCTGCACCTCGCTGCATTGAATTAAAGTGGCGTGCAGCTAGAAGAGGGGAAGGCATATTGACTGGCTAAGCCGAGAACAACACAGACATCAGGGTCATTTGACCATCTTCGGTTACCCAAACAAGTAACCCGGGTGTGCATTAGAGTCTAATGCGTGGCACTTTCACGAGTACAGCTCGTGATAGCACGCTCATTACATTGCGGGGCTGTCTTGCGAACAGCGAGTCAACCGAGGGAGAGATATGATCTGAGGTAAAGACTGGCTCTCCCTGTTACAGACACTAACTGACACGCTACAAAGTTGAACCCCAAATCGCCTTATCACCAAGCCACTCCCAAATACTCTTATCCGCCTCCTCAGTGTTGCTAATAGAAACTCCCTTCGACTGACCACTCGTATCAGGTCCAGGATCATTAAACAGCTGCACACAACGAGTGTTGTTCTTCCCAACTTCAAGCACCGTTCCACCAGGATACTTGTCACTCTCCACACAAAGAAGCATGGCCTCGGCAACCTCTTGAGGTGTAACCCACTCATCCTGCCCCTCATCAACATACTTCAGCTTCTCAGGATGTTCCGTCCATAGCGGGGTGCGCACTAAACCAGGCGCAACAGCATTGACACGAACGCCAATCTTCTCAACTTCGGCCAGGCATCGTACAAAGCCCGTGATGCCGAACTTGCTCGCTCCATACATGGGACTTCTGAGAGCGGGGCACTGAGCTGCGATAGAAGAAATATGAATCACGCGTTTGGGGTTCTCAGGTGACACTTTCTGGGGGGAGCCGTAAAGCCATTGTGAGATGGCAAGTTGCGTAGCACGAATGGGATGCGTGAGATTGATATCCAGCAGCTTATAATGATCACCGTCAAGGGGGTCTTTAGATTCAGCGGAGCCTGGGGGATGCCAGAAGTTGGAAAAATGAGGCTCATAGACACCTGCACCTGGACAAACGATGTCAAAGTCGCCAAACTCTTTGACAGCGGTTTTGAATGCATTGGCTAGATCCTTCCAGGATGTGACGTCTGTTTTGACAAAGACTGCTCGGGGAGAGGAGTCTTTGAACTTTGAGACTAGAGCTTCGGCTTCTGGTCTCAGAGAAAGGTCTGCTATGACGACGTTGCAGTTCTTTCCAAGCAGGATCTGAGCAAACTCATAGTTGATTCCTGGGACTTGTAAGTCTATTATACATATGATTTGTCGGGGGATGTATACCTGACCCAGCGCCTGTGACGATGGCTGTCTTGCCAGAGACGGAGAATGGGGCTGATTGAGAAGACATGATACTGAATTGAATAACTACTGTTTTGTTTGTATCTTAGATAAGAAGTTACACTTTTTATCCGTTGACCCAGCAAAGATAGAAGCCATTCAGCTCAATAAATAGCCCAGACAACTTCATATACAAGTCGGCTCCGCTAATCGGGTCCGCTTATGAACCGGGGCTCTAGTACTAAACTGCCGAGACGTCACTCTTACTCCACATTCTCGTCCCTCCTTCGCCTTGATATCCTCTTCCGTCGGCATTCTCCAGGTCTTCGGCTTGGTCTCAGCATATGACTCAATCCAGCAGTGGCAACCCCATCGGAAAAAGCACCTTGTTCATAAAACACCGCTCGGCTCAATCACCCAAATGCTTTCCATCAATCTCTCGGTCTGACGACAATGCGGTCTTTTTCAGGCTGGTAAGCCAACCCCCTCAAACTGATGAAATGAGGTACTGAGGGCGAGCAAGCCAAACTTGCAGAAGCAGAAAGTTGAAATGTGATGAAGCAAAGCCAGTTTGCGGAGCATGTAGCAAAAGTTCGCGAACGTGCAGTTATTCCAAGAGATCGGTATTTCGGCCTTTCCAGAGTTATGCTAGAAAGAGGAGTCGAAGCGAGGTCGTTGAAGATTTTGATGCGATTGATACCGGTGACGCTTTTGAGGCGGGTCATGTCTGGGTTGATGTTCCGGACGAACGTAAGTGCTTAGCCTATCGTGCATACCCCGGATCTAAATTAACATATGTTTGCCAAGTTCACTTCGTCCATGTTGAAGATCCTTACGCGGAGCAGGACAGCATAAGGATTGACTATCCTAATGACACAAGGGAGACATCTTATACTGCGGAAGTGGAGCAGATTTCTGAGTCTCCTGGGCCAGAATTAGACCTTTGGGCTGATGGTTCTCTTATCGTTGAAGGGGAAGCATATGCTCCAGATGACGAGCCAGGAACACCTCCAACTCCCGGCGAACATCCAGATCATTCAAGACTGGCAACGCTTCATCTACTCAAGCATTACAAAGAAGGACCAGGTGTCTGGTAGGTTTTCCTATCCATTGATATAAGTTTATCTAACAATGTCAGGTTCGACATCTTTGACACTGGTTGCTATTTCTCAGGCAAAGTCCCTGTCAAAGCAGCAACGAGTCCCCTTCTCAAGTCATCCATGTGTGCCATCGCAGCCAAGCACTTGTATCGCGTAAACAAGAGTCATCTGAATCCAATCTCCGATGACTCTAGATGGCAAGGTTATGACTGGCGCTATGAATCTGCAAAGCACTACGATGAAGCTATTCACCATCTAAAGAGTGCGGTTGACCTTTGTACGTACGAGAAAAACTTGAGTGATAAAGAGGATATGCTTGCTGCGGTTGCTATTCTCTGTATCTACGAACTGATGGATGCACCTGGGACAGCTTGGAGAGCTCATCTCAGCGCTTTGCCTCTGTTCAATCCAACGGAGGATAGTTCACATCCTGCTTCACCAGTCGTGATACCGCGCACGGCTATTCAGGGTCCTATTCTTTGGAGCTTAGCACGTCAGGATCTTCTCTGCGCTTGTGAGCTTCGACTCTCGCATCTATCTATGAATCATACTGACCTTCCTAGTCATCAGCGAAACGCAAACTCGTCTTGATCTCAAAGACGTACGTCTTTGGCAGAACGCAGGTCTCGCCACCACGGAAGATGGAACCCTCATGCCCTTCAGTCCTCCATGTTCAGCGGATATTCGTACCGCAGCTGATATCGAAGAAGACACCAAGAGTAATGAGCTGACATGGCTCATTGGCAAGCTCTCAAATCATCTCACCTCAGGCGACGCAATAAATCCCTCGGATTACGCACTCCCTCTTGGTCAACGTCCAACCATTGGCGTCACACAAGAACGTCTCCTCGAACGCTGGAAGATGCTGCTCAAAGAATTCAAGAAATGGCACGACAGTCTCCCACCAACATTCAGGCCATATGCCCGAACACCGTACCCTTCATCAGGCTCATGTTTTAGCAGCTTCACCCAAATATGGTACGAACTCCCCATCTGCGCTGCAACAATGCAAAACTATCACATGGCCATGATTCTCCTCCTCGTGAACCAACCACAAGAATCAACATTCATTCGCTCCACTGTCTCGGCGCGATTAAAGTCTTATCGACAGATCCAGCGAGAGGTACATCACTACGCAAGAGAGATTTGTGGTGTTAGTCTAGCAGAGCCCTCGGATCCCGTGAGAGCGAATTCAGTGCAGGCGTTGTTTGTTGCGGGACAGGTGTTTTATGAGAAAGGCGAGCAGGAGGCGGTTCTAAAGCTTTTGGATGATATTGAGAGGGATTTGGGATGGACCACCAGTTTTCACCGGGCAAAGCTTGTAGATGAATGGCCTACAGATAGCTAATACCGACACCATGAATCCCTGATGATTTCAGTTCTGCTAGCTAAGCCGCAATGTTGCGTTGATGGCACAAATGATTGACCGAAATTCTAGGCCGAGATTGCAAAGTTACATAGTCAATCATGCAATCGTCTGTGATGCTACCGTAGCGAGCAGCAATTCCGCGATGATCTTCGGCTTGATATGGCTTCAAATACTCGTTCCTATTGGCCATTCGGCTTGTTGTCCTCTTACGGCACGTCGCATCCGCGCTATAAATGCCAAACTCAAAATTGAAATACCGCTGCAAGGTGACGAATTGTGGTTAGATTGAGGGACACTGAGCCGCGGCTTACAGTCCGGTAGCTCCGAGTGTCACTTTGACGGCTCTATAAATACCGACAACTCACTTCAAATGGCACATTGACTCTGATATCGTTATCAAGAACAGAAACAATGGCGACTTCGACTTTTGGACCTCGTTTGGCTGGTAAAGTCTGCATTGTGACGGGTTCTTCATCAGGCTTGGGTCGCGCAATTGCACTGGCTTACTCCCATGAGGGGGCGCACCTCGTCTGCGCTGATCTCCAGCCGGCTGCACGTGCGAGTGTGAATGGAGAGGAGGAGGTCAACACAGATGAATTGATCAGATCAAATGGTGGCCAGGCTATCTTCGTTGAGACGGACGTCACCAAGACCGCTGCCGTGGAGCAACTGGTCTCTAGAGCTGTCATCCAGTTTGGCCGCATTGACGTGTAAGAAAAGTATCCCGGATAATCCGTTGAGATTTGTCGCTCACTCCATACAGGCTAGTTAACAACGCTGGCATTTCTGTCGAAGCAGGCAAAGAACCTCGTCGGGTACACGAAACTCCAGAGGACTGGTGGGATCTGACCCTTGCTGTCAACCTCAAGTCCATATTTCTCGTCAGCAAGTATGTCATTGCCCAGATGCTGAAGCAAGACAAGTCCGAGACTGGCGACCGAGGCTGGATCATCAACATGTCCTCTATCTTTGGCCTCGTCGGAGGAGTTACCAATGGTAAGAAACACCTGTCTACAATTTTCGTAATGCTAATCGTGAAGCTGCGTATGCTGCCTCGAAAGGTGGTGTGACAAACTTGACGCGTACCATCGCTCTCGACTACGCGAAAGATGGCATCCACTGCAATGCCATCTGCCCAGGCTGTAAGTACTAAGATCTCAGGACTTTCATCGACGCTGACAGACGGTGAAGTTACGGAGACAGCCATTTTTGCCGACACTATCAAGACTCGCGACAGAGACCTCATCCGATCAATGCATCCTCTCCATGGAACTGGATCGCCGCAAGATCTTGTTGGTGCCGCTATCTTCCTTGCTAGTCAAGAGGCGCGATGGGTCACTGGGGTGAACCTCCCGGTAGACGGTGGCTATACAGCACGGTAGTGGCTCGAGGCCTTAGATATGTAGCTATATACAAGAAAATATTCACGATCCATAAGCAATCACAAACCTCCCAATTTATATGTATTCATCCCATCCATTATCCATTATCCATACACAAAGAAATATATCTTCACATGATCCATCCTATCGTAATGCACCGTTCCTCATACAGATATTGCATCGTCCGTCTTAGTATAACCTCAACATAAACCATCTTCGCTACTCAAACATCCCAAACTCAAAGAAATGTATACAAAGGAAAGGGTTTCAAATGAGTGACTTGTTAAACATGTTCATACATCCATCTCATCCCATCATCTAAGCATCAGCCGATCCATCAGACTGAGAAGAAGACCTTGTCGCAGAGGAGTTGAGGTTGCGTCGTCGCACAATATGGCTCCTATAAAAGTTAGTACCACTACATCGTAAACAGTGATAAGGGAGAACTTACAGTCCACTACCATTCCGAGGATCCCGAACAATGACCAGCTCTTGCGCCCTTTTCGGATCCTTGATGGGCTTCCTCCCCCCACCACTCTTACTCCTCGTCATGCCGCCGTTGTTAATCTGAGCGACAAGAGCAGCAACCTGAGTCTGAAGCGAGTTGACCTCCGCATTGGCAGCTTTCTGGGCCTTCTTTGCCTCATCAAGCTGCTTCATGAGCTTGTTGTTCTCAGTGCGGAGCTGCTTCAGCACAACAGCTTCTCGTTCAGCGCTCTCAAGCTTCTTGGTCAGTTCATCGCGCTCAGCGGTCAGGGCATCGACGGTGGAGACTTTCTCTTGGAGCTTGGCTGCGTTTTCCTCAGCGGCGGTGAGCTTGCTTTTGAGATCATCGCGTTCGGTGGTGAGGGTATCGACGGAGGCGGCTTTTTCTTTGAGAGCCGCTGCTTCTTCCTCGACGGTGGCGAGCTTCTTGGTGACTTCGTCACGCTCGGTAGTCAGGGTATCAACGCTGAGTTGGAGTTTACCAGCGTTTTCTGCGGTGGCGGTGAGCTTGCCGGTGATGTCGTCAAGTTCAGCTGTGGTAGTGGCAACTTTCTCCTTGAGTTCTGTGTTCTCGCCTTGAAGTTCCTCGACGGTGGGAGCAGCGGGCTCTTCAGGTGCTGGGACAGCCTCGGGCTCAGGCTCAGGTGCTGCCTCTTCAGCCGGAGTCTCAGCGGGTGCTTCAGCTTCGGCCTTCTCCTCAGTAGGTGCCTCAGCCTCAGCCTTCTCCTCCGCAGGGACTTCTGGCTCAGCTGGAGCTTCAACTGGAGTCTCAACAGGAGCGTCAGCCGGAGCTTCAACCTCCTCAGCCTTTTCCTCAGCCTCGGGCTCAACTTCAGCTGCGGGTGCAGGCGCAGGTGCAGCCTCCTCAACCTCCTCCTCGACAACGATCACATCCTCAGTCTCAGGTACATCCTCAACTGAGGCAGGCTGCGGCACACTCGCAGGGTCTGGCTTCTCTGTAGCATCAGAGACAACACTAGCAGTGTCATCAACCGTACTAACAGAGCTCGAGATCGTCGACAGCGAACTCGACACCACGCTCGCAGTATCCGACAAAGACCTGAGACTCGAGTTCTCCGACCTCAGACTCTTCACCTCAACCGCCAACCTCAACACCTGCGACGTCTGATCGTCCTGATCATTCAACAAACTCCTGACCTGCTCCTTCATCGTCTTGTTCTCCCCGTGCAGCTGCTCATACTTCTTCTTCAACTTCTTCCTCTTCGTCTCAACCTCCTCCACCTCCTTCGCCACCGCCTCCTTCTCCTTAGCGATTGATTCGATCTGCGATTTAAGCTCTCCGTTCTCGGTATCAAGACCAGCAATTCGGGCGTCCTTACTCTCTGTGTCCTTGGTCCAGGTATCCTTCTCCTTCCTCAAGTCGTCGATCGTAGCCTGGAGTGTCGTGACCTGCGCTTCGAGTGCCTTCTTGTCGGTTTCGAGTCCCGTTAGCTGTTCCTGGAGTCTTGACTTGTCGCTTGTGAGATCAGTGATTTGCTTAAGCATGTTCTTCTTGTCCTCCTCAAGGCCTGACTTGTCCTTGTTCAGAGACTCGACTTGAGACTTGGAGTTCTCGCTGTCTGTCTTGTAGCGGTCACGCTCCACAGTGAGCTCGCCCAGCTCCTTGGCCTTGTCGAGCAGATCTTCTTCCATGTTGCTGACGCGGAACTGCATGGACTCTTGAGAGATCTCCATGGTTGCAATGCGAGCTTGATAGGTTGTCTCTTGAGCCTTGCGGATAGCCTTGATGTCCTCGAGCTCTCTCTCCAAGTTGATAGCCTTGGCTTCAAACTTGCTATAGGATTGAGTAGACTCTTGGCTTGTCTTCTTGAGATCCTCATAGTTTCTCTCAAGAGCAGCCTTGAGCTCTCGGTGCTTGGCGAGATGGTCCTCAAGCTCCTTGACTCTGTTGCTGAAGTTCTGCTCAGTCTGTAAGAGCTCATCTCGCTCCTTGGTGAGCTTCGAGACAATCAGGTCACGCTCCTTCTTGGCCTGGTTGATAGCCTGGTCTCTCTCCCTCTTGACCTGCTCAAGAGCATGGTCACGTTCCTTCTGGAGCTTAGCGATAGCAGAATCGCGCTCCTTCTTGGACTTGGCAATGGAGACATCGAGATCCTTTTTGGCCTTCTCAGCAGCGACTTCACGGTCCTTCTGGAGTCTGTCGACAACAGAATCGCGTTCACGCTGGATGCGCTGGATGACTTCATCTCGCTCGCGCTGAAGTCTCTGCAACTCTTGGTCGCGATCCTTCTTGGACTTTGAGATGGTCAAGTCGAGATCTCGCTGGGCTTGCTCAACAGCTTGGTCGCGTTCTCTCTTGAACTTGTCCACGACCTCCATGGCTTGGTCACGCTCACGCTTGAAGCGGTCAAGGACTTGGTCACGATCCTTCTTGACCTTGTCAATTGACATGTCGCGGTCCTTTTCGAACCTCTCCAAGGTGCGGCGCTGCTCATCAAGGCGTGTCCTTGTTCTCTCAAGCAGCCTGGTCTGCTCCTCAAACTCGATAACGAGTCTGTCCCTGGTAGCTTGGGCCTTGTTCCTCTCATCTCGAAGCTCATCCTTATCGGACTGCATGTGAGAGAGTCTGTACCGAGCGTCATCAAGATCCTTGAGAGTCTCTTTCTGCTTGGCCTTGAGAGACTTGAGCTCGCCTCTGAGGTTCTCGAGTTCATTGTTCATAGTCCGCTCGACGTCAACGCGAGAGCGGGCCCGTTGCCGAGAAGGAGGACGCGTAGGCTCAGGAAGCTGACGCTCTTCAGGGATGCGTTGAACTGGTGGAGCAGGCTGAGGCTGCTGCTGTTGAACAACGGGTTGTTGCTGGACCATGGGCTGCTGGAAGGGCTGCTGTATGATGGGTTGCATGACAGGAGGGCTGATAGGCTGAGCAGGGAACATCAAGGGCTGTTGCATGACAGGCTGGGCAATCATGGGCTGAGGAGCAACAGCAGGCTGATGGCTGACGATGGGCTGTTGAGCCATCATGGGTTGATGCGTGTAGGTCTGTGATGTAGTGGTCTGGGTGACCGACGATGAAACCATGGCATTCTGCGGGTTGACGGTAGTCTGTTGGTGCTGCTGTTGCTGTTGAGGCTGTTGCAACTGCAGTTGCTGTGGTTGCTGCTGCTGTTGTTGCTGCGGTTGCTGTTGTAGCTGTTGCTGCTGATTGTTGGTATTGCTCGCAGGCTCTTGGGCCTTGGGCTCAATGTGGATGTGAAAAGTCCGACCACGACTTCGTGATCGTTCCTTAGTCCGCTCTTGTTGACGCTCAACCTGTCGACCAGATGTTCTCTCAACCTCACGCTCTGTTCGGCGCTCAAGCTGTCGATCTGTCTCAAACTCAACTCTCTTCTCTGTAGGTCGAGATTGTTGAGATGTGCTCATGCTTGTATTACGCACGATGGAACGAGACCGTGTTGGGGTCTTGGCACAGTCATCTTCACTGTCGCTCATGACAGTAGTAGCCCTTGTTGAGACAGAGACATTGGATGAAGTGGCCCAGCCAACCTCTGAAGCTGAGTCGTAGTTGTCATCCGACATGTATGACATTCTGGGTGAAGGCTCTGGTGATCGTGTGTCTTGAGTGCTTCGGAAGCGGAGTTGAGGAGGTTGGAACATGAAGCCTCTGCCTGAATCCTGTCGTTGGCTCCGTGGAGGTGGTGATGGAGATGTAGATGAGACAGTGTTGGTGGATACAGTCGAGGCGTCAGAGGCAGTAATGGCCTCGGACACTGTTGAGAGTCCATCAGAGTCTGGTCGGCGTGTTGGTGGTCGTGAGATAGATCTGTTTCTCGTCATGGCAGAGCTGGATCCCGAGTTCCTTGTACTCTCATCCCATGAATCGGACTTGTTTCTGGGTGGGTTCCCCCGGATCGTGAGGGCCATGGCAGTCTCTTGCTGTCGTTGTTGTTCATATTGTGACAATGGATCGAAAGGCCGACGCGCTGGCGGGGCTTGTTTCGTCTTGGTCTGTGACTTTCTCATATTGTAGGACTGCTAAGCTGTGATAATGAAATAAAATAAAAGGAATATTATGTTTGTTGCGAGTTTGTTTCGTGTGTACTTCGTGGGTCCCGGGGGAAAGTAACGATTCGAAGTGGGTGATATGATCGGCGGGCGGCGGTGAGTTGGAGGGGTCGGGTACACTAGATAAATGGTCAAGAAGACGGGTACAAAACAAACAAGAATAAACCTCGCTGTATTAGATGCTGTGCAATCGGTACTTGGGAGAAAAGAGGAGAGAAAAAGATCACCTCAAAAGAAGAGAGCGTCTGGCCATCCAGTTTTGTTCAAAATCGCCCTGATCTTGCGGGTGACAGGACAGGGCAGGGATCCTAGTGCCGTCCGGGTCAGAGAGCCCGAGGAGCCCAATCCAAGAAGGATAACCTTGTCTGTCGAACCCGCCTCAGGGTGGTTCGAGATCCACTGCCCAACCCCATTGGGCACGGCACGTCCCCCCCAAGGTGCCAACGAGTCGCTGGCCCGTCCAACAGTAAAAGTAACAGCTGGTCCAACGAGAGAACTCTGGCTGTGCCATGACGCGTGAGGCATCACTAGCTTCAACTCCTGTGGACGGGAGAGCGGGAAGGGCGAACGAGGCCCCTGTCGTCTTGACAAGTGACCCGACATTCTCAAGGGCCTCGATTGGACTCACCCCAGAGTCAGCGGGGTGATAGAGTATCCAACATACAGTGGCAACTTGGCCATGTGGACAGGCGTGGTTGAAGGGGAAGATCCCCGGGACTGACGGGCAGTGGATTTAGCCTCTGCAAGTGCCAGGGGGTAGAACAGATCAAAGCGTCTTTCTGTCCTACAGTCTACTGTACGTACTCCGGCTCTGCAAGAAAGGGGAGTCGAGAGATGCAAGACTCCATAGCGTACAGTTACGTGTACACGATTTGTTTGCTGTGCACAGGGCAAATTCCTTCTGTACTGCCCTCCGCCGAATGTCCACAGCTCAAAACATTTCAGCGTGCCCAATCGTTAAAGTCAGGGCATCCAGTCAAAGATCAGCGTCTTGGGCAACAAAATGGACAAGGGTGTACCCCTGTAGCGCTTTTGAGGCCAGGTTTTTGTCTTTGTCGCTTTAGGCGTGGTTTACGGTCGGGCTGCAACGTTTATGTGGGGGTTTCCGATTCGCTGATGGGCTTTTGTCATTTTTCTCGAAGGCGGCTGGTAGTTTGAGGCAGAGCGATTGTTTGGATACGATGTGATTTGAAGTTATCGAGAAATGTAAAAATAAGTTGAAAGGCGTTCATTAAACCTGGTGCTAGTAATTGAGGCTTTCTGACTCATTTTACACTATTACTCACTCACTGTGGCTGGCGCGTAGTCGTAAAAAGGCCTCATAGATGGTGAGGCAAGGCAAAATGAGGCTATTCGCGGACCTTGGTGCGCTGATCTTTTGCCAAGTTTTCCTATCAATCTCGGTGTTTCTATCTGTGACAAACCCCGCAAAGACGTCGTATCAGATTTGACTGACTGCATGCCCAACCACCAGCATCTAGGGTCAGATCGTCAACTAATTTAGCTCAAAGCGCATCGTGGAGTTTTCGTGATACACGCATTTGCGTACGAACGTCTGCTTTCCTCGGCAGTTCTTAGATCAAATGCGCGAAATAAATCTCACACAATCTCAATCTCTCACATTAGAGTAAGATATTCTTTCTGCTTCTGTTACATGTACCGCGCCGCAATTGACGTCGTCAGGCATTTACTCGTGGCATCATGTATCACCTAAAAGAGGCCTGTACCTTGTAAAGTCGCGTAGTGGAACCCCGAATACTTGATTATCCATGCTTAAACACGGGAAAAGCCCTCGAATCTCGAAACCTAAAGTCGCACGAATTTAAAATACGTTGTATCCATTCAAACGGTGGTCTTTGCAAATGTTAGTGCATGCAATCCATGAGAAGATCAGGGCAAGTCACAAGCTGAATATCCCAGTCGCCCGTCTTTGCTAAGCGCCGCGGAAGCAAAGGCCTCGATCCTCAATGTCTGTCATTTTCTATGCGTCGCATATGACATTGCTGCCTACTGGATCTTTTGCAGTCATCTGCGAATGGCTTGATAGGTATACGTACAGCCGTGGCTTTGCCTCTGAGGCCACCCAGTTTGTAACCTGGCGGCTTTTCGTCCTATTGACTGGATGACTCAGACGGGATATTTTAATGCATTATAGTAAGTTCGATAGTCTCTTCACGACTTGCGCAAGATCTGCATTAGGTAGGCTAGACAACGAGCATACCAGCTTGATCACGCGACCTAAAAGACAGTTATTTAACTAAGGCTTTGGGGCCTTGACAGTCAGAGGCAAGGGAGTGTGAGAATTCAAGAATAACAGAGATGTTCATTGGACTATGTACAAGTGAGACAAAATGCAAACGTACGATTAGGCTCAGCTACTGCATATCAACAACAGATCAGGCTGCATCGATAACCATGCCCGGGACAACACTTCCAGTCGTCGTAGGGCCCTGGTATCCTTTCCTTGCGCTTCCGAACCACCAAAGACTAACCAAGAAAGTTAACCCTCCCCATATAACACAAGTGTAGTTCATGCTCGCCGCACTTGTAGGCAAAGCATAAGGGAAGCAGTAGATAACGCTCCAGATAAGAAGATAAGCACATGCAATGCCATTAATAATAAATCCCCAGATGCCATGCATCCTGAAGGGTCCATAAACAATGTTCTTTCGTCCACTCAGGAGATTGGGCAGGATGCATGCCAAGAATGAACAGCTGCAGAGCAGAATAAAGGTTCCGACAAATGCATTGAAGGCTGTTGTGCTGCCGACATAGATGGCGCCAAGGACTGAGACAAGAACAGCTGTGACGATGGTGGACCAGAGAGGCATGTCGAGAGACTCCTGGACATGGCCTAGTACTCCAGGGAAAGGAGTCGCGCCGTCACGAGCGAGAGCCCAGAGCGTTCGGCCGCAGGTTATGTACAGTCCAACGACAGTCAAGGCAATGCAGATCATGACCAGCGATAGCAGTCCGGTAGCACCAGCTGCGGAGCCCGTAGCTTGGCGATAGATCTCGGCGATGGGATATGCCGATTCGAAGAGGGCGTCGTAGTCGTTGATGGCGTACATGATGGCAATAAGGTAGCAAAGACCGGTGACGAAGCCAGTCACGACCTGGAACAAGATGGCGATGGGGACATTTCGACTTGGGTTGGGGATCTCCTCCGCAAGTTGAGTTGTCGCATGGACCGACCCAACACTGTATGCTCCGTTGAGCATGCCAGCAACAAAGACAAACCCATCCGGATATCCAATATCGGCAGTCCAATCCTTCCAGACAAACGCCGAGCTCGCAAGAGGTGGACGGCCTCCTCTTCCAGGCATGACAGTAACAGTAATGACCGTGATGATGAAACCGGCCAAGATGATGAATACTCCAAATTTGTTCAACCCCGGCATAGCACTGTTCCAAAGACAGACAGCCGCACACGATAACCATGTCGTGATGATATACGTGATAAACACATGCCACGACTCAGCCACAAAGCCTGGATGATTCAAAGCATACATCTGAACAAGCGTATTCGCAAGAATGCTCGACATGCTAGCACATCCAAGACACCAAGCAAGGTAATTCCACCATCCCGCAAAGAACCCAATGACCCTTCCCCACTTCGGCCCAGGCGTAACAGAAGCCCATTGATAGACACCGGCAGATGAAGGAATCGCACTAGCTAGCTCTGCAACACTCGCAGCGACTGTCCAGTAGAACATGGACACCACGATGAATTCGTAGAGGACGCCCGGAGGACCGCCGTTGAAGATGGCGACGAGGATGGAGCCGCCGATGGCGGGCCAGACGTTGCCGACGACGAGGCCTACGCCTGCTAGGGAGAGGAGGTTGAAGTTCTGGCTGAGTTCTTGGACGTGGCCGGAGGCGTTGATGGGGACTTCGTTGTTGGTGATTGATTTAGCCGCATCGTGAACATCGTCATCTCTCTTGGCGGTAAAGTCCGCCTTTGAAGTAGTTTCACTCATAATGATGATAGTCCTCCAAATAATCTTAGAGCAGAGGAAGAAGATGGGAGACAAATAGCAGGAGAAGGGCGAGATCTTAAGTCATGGTTTATCAAGCTCTGGACCCGAGGCTATGGTTTAGCCTGTCGCATGTTCCTTCCAAAAGCAGTTTAAACTGGTTTCTCCAATCTAATCCCCCCCCAGATTTGAGGTCTTGGTTCGCGGAGATAGGGTGTTTAGGGTGTTGACTTAATTCCCCGACTGGTCTGGGCGCCGAACCTGGAACGTGGTTGGGGCGAGGGTCTTATCTGATAGTTGGTCTGCGGGTTTGGAGTGTCGGCTGTGGTTTCCAAATGGGATTATGGTGTAAAAATCATGATAGAGGTGAATCGGGAGGTTGACCGATGGATGAGATAGGGATCACTCGATGCGATGTCGGAGCTCAAGAACTGCGTGTCACTATTATTTATAACGTCATAGTAATTCGAGTTAAGCCTACACAAGCATGCCTCTTCTGTGAGGCAGATCACCATTGATCTGGTTCCTGGGCTCCTGAGCTCCAAATCGTGAAGTGGATCAAGTTCTGGGTTGACCCCAAATCAGTCTGGGGTTCTGATATGGCCTATCGTGCGGGGTAATTTCTATTACTCATCGACTCCGGTAGAATGAGTATAGGGTAATTTGAAAGAATATTCCGTCTAAACGATATGAAAGCATAAACGCGTGGCAAAATCCAGGAAACGTCTGTTAGGACATGATCGTAACTTAATTCGGGGTAAAGTTTGAAACGACAACCAGAAGTCGTTTGTGGCGGCCGCTGTCAACCTTGCGACTCTGGTTCATTATTCTGACGCCACCTCTCAAGAACACGATATACCGTAGGCACTTGGATTTGCAAATGAAAGACGCTCTTTCGTGACTACGTGACTACGTGACTCAGCAAATCAAGATCCATGACCAAAACAATTGAAGCTTCAATTAAAGACACTGGTCTAGTTA